TGTGAGCATTAGTATGAGAGGATACTGGTTAACGTTAAACTGAAAAGTTGAGGTTTTCAATAGGAAGACCATCTGAAAGCTCTTAGTTCTGCAATGCTATTTTTACAACTGCAGTTGCAAATGAGAGTAGTCAGATGCTTAGAATTCAATTAGTGTATGTTTGTCTCCTGCACAGCGATATATAATCCTTATTTATAACAATGCTGTGTGGCAGAGACAGCTCTGACAATTTTAAATTCTGCAATAATAATCACATTACAGAGCTGCCTTTGCATTGCATCACTGCTGGATGGTTGCATCCAACACCCATTTAGGGGGACTTTGTGTATTTAACTTTCCAAAGGAGCTGTCCTAAAAACATGTCCTGTTAACAAGGAAGAAAAACTTGATGTTGCTTCTCTGAAGACAATCCAGGTGCATGAAGCAAAGACTTGAATACAAACTTTCAGTGTCAGCCTTTGAAATCCTTGAGAAAGATGTAATGTGTTAGAGATTATAGTTCCTTTTTTCTCTTGCATTTTTTGTCTCTTATTGAAAAAGCAATTTGTCAATCCTTTAATAAACATTTCCATGTGAAGTAACCCCTCTGCCTAAGCTAGGATGTTAGTGCAAAGAGAAAGTTTAACAAGTGCAAAGCTCTAGCAGTATTTCTCAGTTATTTTCAACAGTGGAATTTAAGTAGCTTAGTGATGACCTCAAGCTAGTATCATTGAGGCTGATATAGTCTTTGAATTGCTGTAAGATGCAGCTCCTTAGTCATTATCTGAACAAATTTCAAGTTTGTTTTTTCTTAACCCCCCCTCCCCAAACCAACAAAAAAACAAAAACCAAACAAGCACAAAATTAACTGTATTTCAGGTGAAAAAGGTAAAAACTGCCTATTGTCAGAGAAGCTCAACAGCTGACAACACAAACATAGTGACAAATTATAACTAATGGAGGAAAAAACTGCTTTAGAAATGTCAAGATTTTTCCTGATTTAAAATTAGTAAATTCTGAAGAATCAAAATAACTAGAGTTTGAGATGGATTCACTCTGTGACAGATGGCACAGTATTTTTTTTTTTTTTATACTGGAGTTGTGCTTTCCTGTTAATACCATATTCTCGACTGACCCATTGCGCTGAGATGGCTCCTACCTCTAGAAGCAGCCAGTTAAGTAATGCCTCCTCCAAAGGCATCATCTTACCTTGCACTACTCTAATGTCATCATTAATAGCAATCAGATTTGAGTTTCAAAAACTGATCGGTGCATGAAACTCACTTCCCATCTCAGTTTGTCCAGCTTTGAGTTTTACTTGGCACCAGTTCATTAGTTCAGTTTATCGAAATGGCTACGTCTGTGCGCTTCTCGCGAACGCTCGATGCATTTGTCACTGGGATAAATTTGGGCTTGTTCATCTAAACGTCAGCAGCTGCTTTGGGTCCATCCTGCCTTTTGGGGTACACAAAGCCATCTCTGGGGCATGGTTGTACACTATGAACTATGAGAGCCTTGGTACTGCATCAATAAGATGCTTTTAAATTGCTCTGTTGATGTTGCAGGAGGTGTCTCTGAACCACGTCAGTCTGGCTTCTCTAGTCTGTCTTCATTCCCTCTGCATTTTTAACTTTTTTCAAGAGATTGCTCGTTATGGCTGATTACATTATTTGCGATTTTTTTGTCTCCTTTGATGCCTGTGCCAGTAGTGCTTATGTAAAGAGACTTGATGATACTGAATGGTAAGAATGAACAAATGCAGCAGGAATTCAATTGCTATTTTGCTCTCAAGCACAAGTGTTCTTTCTAAATCAAGTCTGACCACTTACTATGTCAGTCAGCTCTGTTGTTGGAGACACGGAGGGACTATTTCATTTACATTTGATTTAAGGGAAATTTTTATTTGCTTGAGGTGCTCTATTTTATTTGGAAGTTTTAGAAATGTATGATCTCCAAGTGCTCTCCATGCTTTAAAACAAATTTGGCTGTACTTGATCTTCATCTCAGCTGCAAAATCCTATGTAGTATATGTACCTGTCAAATAACTGGCCAGCAGTACCCTATCCTCTCTACAAATGGAGGGTTTGAAGTTATTTATCAAATATCACACAGGAGTTATTGATTATGGGTTCTTCCAGGTACTTTTAAAATTAAATTCCTTAATCATACAACCATCTGCCTCAGCTGGTATATGCAATTTTAGAATTCATGCTGTAGACCACCTGGTAATTAATGACAATTTCAAGTTCCTCATTTTAACGTCATTTACAACCTGATTAATTGGTCAACATAGCTCTTCTCAAATCTCAAATTTTAAGAGGTTTGGGAGTGTTTTCCGATAGTTTGCCAGAGTCTTCCCACAGGTGCAGTAATTGCTGGATTGCTGTTAATTTAAGACCACGTCCTGCAGTGCCCTATAGTCGTCTCCACTGTTGCCACATCCCTGCTTCACTCCAACGTTCCCCAAACAGTTTGCTGGGAGGTTTGTGTGCTAATCTGGCAGAGAAACTAATCCACCAAAGCTAATAGCTTTCTTATGGATGAGCATGCTGAAATGAAGTGTTGAGATTTGGAGACGCAGCAGTAGGATGGGATGTGGCAGCCAACAGTTGGATTGTCTTGAACTGCCAAAGACCCTCAGTCAGGGAAGCACACACGCTTCTTTCATAGGGGTTGGCAGTCGCAGTTGGGCAATTTCTAAAGAATCGCTATCAGTGAGGTATTCAGAAGGAAAATGACTGTTCAAAAATGACTGTGCAAAAAAGCAAAATTTCATCGTACCATGGCGGGGACACTCAATTATAAACTTCTTTGCCTCTCTGTATTCAGACAGAGCGGGGTTTCTGTGCGCTTGATTCATCACACTTGGCTTGAGAGAGAGCAAAACATCTCCAGATATCGGAGAGGCTGATTTTGTAGTGCTTCAATGTCGCTTTTATTCAGCCCCTACTCAATAGAGCTTTGTGTTCTTCTCACTCCTAGAGACTGTAACCACTGCTGCGGTGGCAGAAACGACCTGAAAATATGGACTATAAAAAATATTGGCAAACTGGTGTTTCTCAAAAATACATCCTGTGCTTAAAACAACAGCAAAATCTGTATTTGACTTTTAAATCATGGCATCTTATTGTCTTTTGATTTTTTTGAGCCTCTAAACAAAAGCATAATATACTACAGCTTGCTGTGAACTAGGGATTTAAGACATTGAAAATCTACAGGGGAAAAAAAAACTTTGTTCAAGATAAAATCCCTTTTTGATAAGGCCTTATCGAGAGTAGAGCTGTTTGGTGGTAGTGTTGTGCAGAGAGGAACTGAGCTGGAGACTGTAGCAAATGTGGTGACAGAAAGGAGGGGGAAAAGGAGGCTTTGCTAAGCTGCGTGCAAGCTGCATGACCTTGCCATGAACTGAAGACTTACTGCTACTCCACTCTCAACTTGTAGGTCTGGTCTATGAAGACTCCAGGAAAAGAAAGTTGAGGAGTAGGACACGAATATTGCTGAAAGCTGGCAGAGTTTTCCGTGTCTTACTGATGCTGTGTAGTTTTTCTCTCAATTTCAGTTTGTTTTTGTCCAAATATATGCAGTCACATCTGTTTGCTTGGTGGTTCAGTGTTGCAGACACCTCTCTTCTTGACAGCACATGAGTTTTTATCCTTTCTTACTTGACTTGGAACTGAAGGGAGAAGGAGGCTGTGTGCTTTGCAATGGGAACTTGGTTTCTGGTCCCAAAAATAATGGATTGATGAAAAATACTTCTCAAATATGTTGGCATGTGGTTTATGGTTTGTGGGACAGTAATGTATTCTGTGTGGGAACATCTGTCGCAAGGGAATGGCTTGGAGAGCGGGGAATGCACACAATACAGCTGCAGGTAAGACTTCAAAATTATTTGTATACACAAATAATAGCACAGGATAGTTTTAATTAAAGGGAGAATGGAATTTCCCCACTTTATAGAGAAACGTATATGCTGAGCATCTGCTGGCTTGCGATGATGCTTTTCCAGCACATTTACTGGGGTATTTGCAGGTTGCTCTGTCTCTGAAAGGACAGTACTCGGTGTTCATCTCGGTTCACTTTGTGCTATTTTCACAGCTTTCTGTGTTCAAATGGCTCAGAATAACATGCTTGTCATTCACCTGTCAACTAAGAAATGTAACTTACTTCAGACTTCCTTCCCCTGAGAGTAGCTCCGTTGAGAGGAATGTCTTCAATTACCAAAAAATTCTGTGCTGTCCCCTTCCTGTGTGCTTTTAAAGGCAGGTGTTTACAAAAGGTCCTCTGTGTCAAGATGACCTAGTTAAGGATGCTGCTGTGCAGTAGGTCAAGGTTTTGGAATAAAGTTTTTAGCATCGCGAGATGATGTTCAAATATTGGAGAATTGTGGCTGGATCTTCAAGATCACCTGTACCAGCAGATGCTTTTATTCAGTGACTCGTGGCGCAAATGGAGGGCTGGGGGAACATCTCTCTGATACTGCAGTCTTTGACTAGATAAGAAGTGCAGCACCAACAAAACAGCTTGAGCTTTGCAACACCACTGCACTGCTTGCGTGGCTGAATTGCTTGATGAGCCTCCAAGATTTTCAATGTTTCAAGAAGAAGGGAGCATTACAGACATCAAAATACTTACTCCTCAGATGCATGGGAGCTGGACTGGTTTTTAATTGTGTGGTTGCTGCTGTCTCACTCGAGTGGGAGTGGGCTTTTTAACTGTAACTTCAAGTGCTGCCAATGATGCTCTTGTATGTGTTACTGGAGAGAACTTAACCATATCAGTGGTAACAATGATTTGTCCATCCTGTTCGAATTACTATGGTTTTATGGTCTGATGTGTTACGATTTTATGGCTAGAGAAGGAGCAGATGTCATCTCGGAACTGATTAGAACTGAATGAATCTGGACACTTTGTATTTCATGATGGGTAACTGGTGAGTGTTGGGGTGGGCAAAAGTTTCCTACAGAGGGAAATAAAACCCAATTCTAACAGTTGTGTTTTGTTTTCTCCCACTTCTGCTACAGGTTGCCAACTTGGCCTGTTCCATCTCAAACAATGAAGAAGGTGTAAAATTGGTTCGCATGTCAGCCAGCCAGCTTGAAGCCCTGTGTCCTCAGGTAATGAAGACTATAGGAGCATACGACTTACCCTAATAAGTTGGGCAACTGGTCTTGTTTAGTACATGTTCTGGCCTCTTAGTGTCTGTCTATGGACTTGCTGCAGAACTTGTTTTTTTTCCTTAATATATTTAGAGAATTAAATGTAGTATAGGCATCAAGACTGAGAAGCTCTAAAATATATGACAAAGTAATTAGTGACACAAATGGTCTCTTTTATGTAATAGCTCTGATTTTGTTTAGCCAGGGTATTCTAGTAACCTGTGAGATGGTAAAACTAGTGATGCTTCAGTGCTTTACTGTGCACGTTCACAGACTCAGAATCATTTAGGTTGGAAAAGACCTTTAAGATCACGGAGTCCAACCGTAAACCTAACACTGCAAAGTCCACCACTAAACCATGTCCCTGAGCCAATGCATCAGCTGCATTGGCTATGCTGTTCTTTGTCTCCCACATCTGGGGCACACGGTGTGTGTAGCTTGTTAAGACCAAAGCTCAATTTGTACAGTTGGAATAAAGCGTGTGGAAGAAGCAGCTTTTAAAAATACATCTTACCTGGTATAAGGGCTTGCTTTTTCCTAAAGTAACCAACTAGGCTGGATGTAAATTTTTTTTTTTTGTTATCTCCAGGAATAGAGGTGTCTAGTGCATGTTGTTCCAAACAAATGCTGATGCTTTGAAAACAATCATCTTAAGAAAATTAGGTTTTCTTTGAATCTAAATGTTTTTGGTAGTTGTCCAAGTTTGTGGGGGTGTTTTTCCCCCCTCCCCACTGCTGAAATTGTGTGTATTGCAAACTCTTCTATATTTGCTTTTCCAGCAACTGCCTATTTTAATAAATCTACTCCTTTGTAAAATAAACACCATGATAGTCAACATGAAATAATTAACAAACTCTAGTCAATAGTCACCAAACTGTAGTCACGTCTACTGAAGTGCAGTTGTTAACCTTTAACTTCAGGGATTATGGATAACACACTTAACATGCAATAGAAGCTTTGATTTTCTGTAAATGGACAAGGGCTCTAACTGATGGATTTTGGCTTTACAAAGGTCACATATCTGAACTTCCAAGCCTGCTCCACTGCACAGTTTTGTCTTAATTTCAGGGTCATCACCAAGAGATTAGTAAATGACACTACAGATGTTCATAGCACTTAGAGTGCTTTTATATTATCTTACATGTTCTCTGTGTGATTATTTTATGCTCTAACAGTATTTAAACATGTGAATCCTGAGAGATAGTTGGGGCACTTCTCTTTTACAAATGGCATCTGTGTTTTCTCCTAACGATGCAGAAGTTTCTTATGCCCAGTGTAAGTGATGCAGCACGCTATCATCCTCCTCAATGTGTTCCTAAATGGCCCCCAAACTTTTGATTATTGTGTATAATCTGTAAATGCTTCTAGATATGAAGAACAGCATAGTGGGGTTTGATGTCCTTTTTTAGACAATTACCTGTTTATTTTGCAGTGTATCCTGATGAGATTCACAGCTGCTTCTTGGATCTTCTTAGGTGGCCGTGCTGAACAAACATGCAAATTAGGCCTAAAATACAGATTTAATACAAATTATAAGCTTTTTTTTTTACAGGAAGATGCTGGATTCTGAATGAGTCCAGTCAATCAGTAATTACAATAGTCTCTGAAACTCAAGTGAATATATCGATATCACACAGAAATATGATGTATGAAATTTAATTAAAGATATTGCTGTGGTTGAAAGGATGAAACTGAGATTTAATGCATTTGAGTAACTCCCCAGATAACCTGTTAAATAGCTTAGCTGAGTAGTAGCCATTCTGGGAGTAGGGAACTCCTGGTTAAAGAATGATTTCTGCAGAAATCAATCTGTAGAGTTAATTATAAAAGCTGTATCTCAAATAGAGCAGTTATTCGGTCCCTTGCCATAACTAGCCAATTTGAGCCAGCAGCCAGAGTAAGGAACATTTCAAACTGGTTAGTGTCACCAACAGGTTCAGATGTTCTCAGGTTTGAAATTTAAATCTTTGAGGAAAAAGAAGATATGGAAAATTTTTCATCTGGAAAAGTCTCTACGAAAGCAGTTAAATTTATTTATTGTGACTATGTTACTGGAAATCAGCTCTTCCTCAAGAGTAACATCATCCTTCCTGTTTGTGAGTCCCCAGCCAATTAACGTAGAAATTAATGCAAAGTTGAAGACTTAATGTGATATTTAGAGCTCCCTTTTGATGGTGCAGATGGAGCTGTTAGGAAGAGCTGTGCATGCTTTGTAGTAACCAGCTGGGTGGCTTGTGCTAGGCTGGGTTTACTGGGGAGAAATAAGGCAACATTAGGGGGTCACTGGTGTGTTTTTCTTCATGAAGCCTTGACTTACAAGCCTGCCTGATTTATTTTTTATTTTTATTTTTGAGGGTGTATATTGCTGAAAGTCTGTATATCAAAGTGAAACAACTTTGTCTAGCAGCTTGCAGGAGTTACCTGCAGTCCTGCAGCTTCGTGCCTTGCTTCGTGGGGGGGAAACAGGCCCATCTGTGGTGGGTTAAGATGAAGAAACAAAAGTCCTCCATTACTACAGTTAAATGGTTTTTTGGGGGTTTGGTGGGGTTTTTGTTTGTTTGTTTGTTTGTTTAAAAAAAGCTTAAGATGTCTTTCATAATGGAAATTGAAAAGTACTGCTGTGAAATGCTTGGAATAGTTGCCTGTGCCTTCATTTGCCTAGCAGAGTGCTGGGGGAAGTTTTCTTTACCTTCTTGCTAAACACAGACCTTGCCAACAGTAAATTAGTAAAAGATTTTGTTTATCTCCACTCAAAAACCTGGATCCTCACTCGTAACTCTGGCTTCAGAGTGCTATTTCCAAGAAGAACTTGCTTTGGGAGTCTGTGAAAGCTGTTTTGTAACAGCATTTTGAATTAAAGATGTCTGAGAAGAGAGCTTAACCATAGGAGTGTTTCTGATCATACAAGCTGTAGGTGTTTAGAAAGCAACAGTGAAAATTCCCCGGTACAGCTCTTGAAAGAAACTAGTATTGCTCCAACCTTTTGATGTGACAGTCAGCTGTCACTTGTAGCTGCTTTTACCAGCTATATGTTGACTTTCTCGTGCTTTAAAGCCTCCCTGAAGTTCATCTATAGACTTCTAACCAAATTGCAGTTAGACTGGGAGTTTTAGAAAATAATTATGGATTAGAATTTCCATCAAGTTGGGTGTTTGCTTCTGCCAGCAAAAGCTGGAGCCCATTGCCATTGAGACTGACCATGCTCTGGGAAGTGGGTGGCAGGAGCAGTGTAGACTTGCACCTCCCCGGTGTGGACACGCAAGACCTCTTCTCCCATCTGTACAGCCGGGCTCACTTTGAGCTGGTACTGGTTGCCGTTCTCCTCTGCTGTTCAAGTAGCTCATCCTCCTTAGAAACCAAACATCCTCCTTAAAACCACCACAGCAACCTTGGGAGTGCCCCTGGCAGCCTCTCTGCCTGTCCTTTCCATGCTCCCTGCATACCTACCTCAGCACAGGCAGCGTTTTTCGTGTAGCTCACTGTCCCCTGCACAGTCAAGGGAGTATTGCCCATTAAACAGACTCCAGATAATTCTTGGATTAAATTACATTTTTTAAAATAAAAATAAATTGGCTCTTCTCATATTAACATCTTGTTTTAATAATTGCTGTTCCACATCCTTACATTCCAATTTTGAAATGCTTGAAAAGCAATTTGCTGCTTATAGATTTCTGATGAGGCAGATGGTTACATATGCTGATCACACCTACTGACACAGATAGACAAATACTAAAGCATAAGGAATCCCATGTAGAGGTTCCAAATAGCATGAAAACTTTTGTTTAAAAGTTGTAATGTCTTAGAGAAACAAAAAACCCTCCAACTCACCCCTTCAAATCAGCCAAACCGAAATGTGACCTGCGGGCTTTCTCTCTTCCTTGAGTCCCCAGTTACTTGCCAGTTCCATGGTGGCTGTAGGAGAAGGAGATAATTTCATTTTTCTTGGAGTAAAAAGACTTAATATTGAACAATTGTCCCCTTTTTTCTTCTCTTTGAAAGACTGTCACATTTTTTGGAATGTGTTAACTAGTAGATCTGTCTCCAGACTCTTTAATTACAGGTGCTTGAAGCATTTTATTGGCATTGAGTAGAAATACTTATATAAAAAAACTTAACACTTGGGTTGCAGTTTTGTGTCATGCAGGCTTACTGTGAAGAAGAGCCAGCACAGAACAGGAGTGTCCATCAAAGAAATAATATTAGAAACTCGAGCAGTTACTGATGCATAACAAGAAGCAAAGATAGGAGAAAGGGATTCAATTCTGTAGAAAGAGGTGGGTGAGTGTGGAAGGACCCTGTGTTTTCATCACAGGCACGGTATGATTTGTGGAGTGCAGTAGCAGAACAGCTTCCAGAAAAGACGCAGAGTCCCCCAAACCCCCAAAGCTTCAGCACTTGAAGACAGCGATATGCAAAATGAAGCAACACAAATGGGACACGAAAACAAATGGCACCAAAATTCTTGCAGCTTCTATATTGACTGGTACTATAATATCAGTCCTCAGCTGCAAATGAAAATGCTTTTTCTATATACAGGGAAGTGATAGGATCATTATCTATAAACAATATGCAGATAATGAACACTTTGACAATAGTATATGCTAAACTGGAAAAGGTCATGTTCCTCTAGTAAAAGTGTGCATTTGTGGGTCACTATAGCACTCTAACAACAGGAGTAAATATCTCTGCAGAGATGCCTGCAGTCACTCTCCGTGTAACTTGCAGCAAAGTGCTCAAAGTACCTTTTATACATTTGAACAAAGTATTGGAAATCAAAACAAACTTTTCCTTCTTTTGGTGCATCAGCCTATGTACACTTGCTGGTCACTGCCATTATAGCTAGAGAAAGTGCAAAACAATCTTCCTTATGTTTTGCTTCCAGGCATTTCGGCTCAGCAGAGTCTGCAGAGTGCTTTTTGCTGTATTGAAGTACGTAGAGGATTAGCACGCGTGGACAT